TCTCTGTCTCTCTCTCTCTCTCTCTCTCTCAAAATATTAATCATTAATTTTAATGATACTTATCTAACAATATATAACTTATATAGATATTGATAGCGGCGTTAACAGGGCTGGACTCCCGGGCGGCTAACTGTGCGCTGTTTAACTTCCGGCCAGTGGTGGAGTGCTATAAGAAAATGGTGTCATTCGTGGATCAGTCAGACCTCGACAGCGCCCGCGAAGAGCAGACAAAAATCATCGGCGAGTCTATGAAACACCAAATGAGCGGTAATTACTTCATGTCCGCTAAGAAGCAGTTCAACGCCGATGTTAAACACTTGGGTATTAATGTCGGCGCAGCACGACCTCCCCTTTGCTACCAATACGAGTGGTAATCGGTTTGCGACTATAAGCTATAAGTTTTTATATATAATTATTTTATGATTTTAATGTTAGTGGTAATTCAATTTAATTGATCATTATCAATTTAGTTTATTTTTTCGATACTTTATGTTATTAGATTATTTTTATTTACTTTTACATTGGGTTATGGTTCAATTTTATCCGTTATATGATTCGGTATATAATATACAGATTTTATAATGATTAAATACTTTATTAAATAATAGTTTACAAACTATCATAAAAAATATTATTATAAGTTAGCTTCGCAATTTAAAAATAAAATTTCAAAAAATTAAATATTAAAAATTATACCATATGTTTTTATTAAAATAAAAATCTAAATAAACTGTAATATAGTATAGTTAATTAAAAATATGTTTTTATAATTAGATCTACACAACATCGCCATTGATTTATAAAATTATATGACATGTAATTTAAAATTGTGATTTCATTATTTCTAATTTATACATGGTCACTTGCTATTATTCAAATCACGGGTCAACATGATACAAAACTTAGTACAGGTTTGTTATAATGGTCTAAATATTAATAATCTATAAAATAGTGTCTAAACTTATAACATTATTTAATTGTAACTTTTTATACACTGCATAAAAACATAACTTTTGTAATACATTAATTTAAAAATTAAAAATAGATTCTTTATTGGAATCAAATTAAAAAGTTAAAATCACATTATTTAATAATGTTACAGTTAGTAAATAATAATTTGTAGGAAAAATGACTGGGAATGTACTAAACCGACCCCGGCCCCGTTTGCGCAATAGTCTTGCAGAAAAGCCAACATAGCTTTGTAAGTACCCAACCAAGTTGGGCCAACCTCACCAACTCTAGCATTGCAGTGAAACCAAATTTGGTAAGGTTAGGTAGGATATTGAGTCGTTTTGTTTCATTGCAAGGCTATTGCGCAACCGTGGCCGAGGCCGAGAGCGGGACCGGGATCGGTTTAGTACATCCCAAATGACTGGCAGATCTAATGACCGAATACCCCCTTCCGTTCGCAATACTCGTGCGATTAATGTTGACATCAAATAGATTTTTAAAAATTCAGAGTTTACTCCATTAATGCTCTCAAAAATATAAATATCAAAGACTCGTATTTTTATGACACCTGATAATGACATCCACTTTAACCGCTCACATAGTGGACCCGTATTTACCGGAAACGCCAATTGCCAATGTGATCCGGGATGTAATCACCGGCAATGAGCGCGCCGGTAGGCTGGAGGAGGCCTTCTACGTGGTGGACGTGGAGAACATCATCGAAAAGTACCGCAAACTCCTTAAATACATGCCGCGAATGAAACAACACTACGCCATAAAAGGTAATCCCTCGCCCATAGTACTGGAAATACTGGCCGGAATGGGAATCAGTTTCGATTGTGCCTCCAGGGTATGTCCACAGATCAGTTTCGCACAGATAGTATAGCTCAGCACTTATTGAACTTATGTTACCAGGGCGAGATTGAGACTATACTGAAACTAGGCGTTAGTCCGAACCGAATTATATTCGCCAATCCAGTCAAAGCCCGTTCGCATATAACGTTTGCCGCAGAGGTGGGCGTCACAAAAATGACGTTTGACTCCGAGTACGAACTCTATAAAATACAGCGCATGTATCCCGGCGCTGACATGGTGTTGCGCATACTTGTATCAGATAAATCCGTTAAATATCCCCTGGGTAAGAAGTTTGGAGTTAGATTATAACGGGTGCGCGGCCTATTGTTAATAGCCAAGAAACTTGGTGTAAACATAATTGGTACTAGTTTCCACGTGGGCAGCCTATGTCAGTCCGGTAAGGCATATGCCAGGGCTATCCGCGATTCTAGATATGTGTTTGATCTGGGTAATGAGTTAGGCTTCAACATGCATCTACTAGATATTGGTAACGTATTGAATTTAAAAGTTAATTTATCTATATTGAAGCATATTCAAAATTTGGGTTGATTTTTTAAATTTAAAATATTTATAATTTATCAAGGTGGTGGTTTTTCGGGAACCACCACTAGTTTAAATAAAACTTCGATCGACATGGCGCAGACTGTTTCAAAAGCCCTGGAATATTATTTTCCGGTTTTCAACCAGACAACTGATTTCACCGTTATTTCGGAATTTGGACGATACTATGTATAGCAATATAATTCAATTAGGGTCGTTCACCTAGTACGTTGATACAAATGTTTCCCTTATATAATGTCTGTCACTAGTCAATATAAAGCAACATATTGTATTATATTAGCTATATTATAGTTACTATAGCCTCCCTTACCCAGGGCATACGTACATGTTGAGCGACCAATTATCAATAAGCTAAATTATGGATTTTTAATATGCACAAAATTTTTTACCCTACGACCCTGGTAGGTGGACACGGCGTACACATTGGCCGACGTAATAGAGGGCAAAAAGCGTGTCATTCTGGACGACGTCAAGAGTAATATCCGCAACGAAATGATGTACTATATTATGGACGGTGTGCACCAGTCGTTTAGGGAAGTCTTAGTCAAAAATGATTTCCATGATCCCATTCCCCTCGACCCCCATAACCCAAATGAGCCCCTATATAATACCACACTATGGGGTCCGACTTGCGATAGCGTGGACGCCGTCCGAAAGGGTTTTTGGCTACCGGAGCTGAGTATCGGTGAATGGATCTACTTTGATACTATGGGCGCCTATACCGTGGCCGAAGGTGGCGAGTTTAATGGGTTTAAAGTACCAAGGCAATTGTTTTTTGTGTCCGAGAGAGCCCGACAAACGATTAACGCAATGAATAATCGGGATATGATTTTTGCAATATTGGCTACCGGTGCTATACCTACTGAAGAACTAGTAGATGTCGATCTCCATCAATCTCGTACTCCCTTTGCCTCCTGTTCTCTTCCCTTACAGTTTCCATTCATATAACATATAACGTATATAATGTTTAATCTCGTAATAAATAAATCGTTTAATTCATACGAATCGTATACCGATTAATGGAGAGAGAGAGAGAGAGAGAG